CTAACAGTAGTGACGCAAGTCGTCAACTCTGTAATCCGGATTACTGCGTCTACGAGCGACATTGATGCAATTGTTAATTCACTTAAGCAGTAACTAAGTATGTACGTTTAAGGGCTTAGCTTTCTCCTAGTTATGTGATTGGTGACAACAGGCTAAACGAAATTGGCTTTCTTTACGACAGTAGACGACGTGGTTTAGGTACATCCATTCATTTTCCAGAGGCACTCCGGAAGATGTAAAAATGTAATGGTGATAATACTTATTTGTTGCGTTTAGAAGACACCTACCGTATTAATTGATTGCAATTTTGGTTGTTGGAACCATCCATACAACATTTATTCCGCTGTGCTACTATGTAGTATGTTGGCTTAGAAAATGATATTCGTATGCCACTTATCTTAGAAAGGTTGACATCTCATCTAAGGACTTGTGGTCAGTATATTGCGGTTTTCCCTTATCCTTTAAAGAGTTTTATTTGCGGTTACCAATAATGGCTACTTGCTGGATGTAATTTCTTCTTAGAAACCGAATCTAGTCAGGTTTGAGATCGTACAAATTTTCCGTTATGTTCATGGTTCTAGTACTTATAAAGGATCTATTGGAAATTGATATGGAAAACTAAATCATACAACATAGCCGTGCCGAGCAGTACGGCACAGACTACGGATTTATAACTCCAAAATCCATTTGGTAATAACTCCATTACTGCCACATCTAGTTTACATTTCCATTGCACACATACGTTATCAGTGCAGGCTGTATTTCGACATAGTACTTATAACATGTTCGAACTGGACAGGTGTCATGCAGAACGTTAAATTGCAAGTGCATATGGGGTGCATGCAATGTATTGCATAAGTTAAAATACAAGTCGCTAGTAAATTGTAGTTTGTTGTCAAAATTACCACACCTACGTTCTCCATTGGAATTAACATATAAGATTTCTGACTGTTGATTAGGAATTAGACTGTATTTATTATAGTGTATGGCTTGGAGTTAAATTAAGTTGTACCCTTTTGTTGCACGTGTGTCTGGATTTGTCTCGTGTTGCGTTTCGCAAGAGCTTTTATCGTAACTGTTCTGTGTGCTCTAAATAAGTAGATACTTATTCTATTTTATATTACTCCTACTTGTAAATAATAAATGTAATTTAGGTATGGGTTACCGGTGGTATACCTACATGGTGGTTAAGTATAAAATATCGCCATCTATTATGCTAAGCGATAAGCGTGTAAATAGTTATTGTACTGTATAAGAACAGTTTGGTATGGCTAAACAATCTCGACTATATGAGAATTTCATCTGAATTATATAGTTAGAATTTGTTCAAAACTGAGTACAAAAACCATAATTTGTTTTAAATAGAGGTATATACTTTTGGTAATTTCAAAGTTTAGGACTCGTGCCTCTTGATGATCTCGTGATCTTAACAATTATACGTGTGTTGAGGATCTTATATAGAAAACCATTTAACTACATCATCGTTTTCACGTAGAATGGCAGACGGATCACCTGATGGTAAGCATTCGGCGTCGCCCATGGACACCTGGAACACCAGAGGCGTTACAAGCGCGTTACCGGCCTTTTGGGGATTAGGAGTTTGAGGATCGTTGGGGATTCAGGAATTGGGGAGATTGGGGAAGGGGAGGGTAATTGGGCCTCCGGTAACCTCACTCACACGACGAAACACAACGCAAGCGTTGCTTCACGTCGGTTTTCTGTGAGGCCGTGGTATCACTCCGGTCGAGCCGGCCCATTCGTGCCGAAGCATGGCTCTCCCACACTTAGAATGAAATATACTGAGAATAAAATATACACCAGGTAATTTACACCGATTGACTCTAAAAAGGGATTTAAACATTTGATTGTCAGTGTAACTTTCTTTTGTTTTATAAGTAATGACTTTTCCTTGCATATAAAGGCTGATGGTTATCTAACAGTTAATGCGGTTACGTTTAGCGAGTCGTGTGGCTACTTAAACAGTTGAACCGCGGGTTTGTCATTGTCCGATAAGGTTAATGCCATGATTATGAGTACGCGCGTTATACCTACTCGTTTTGTACTCGTTATTGCTGTAGGGTTGACATTATTGAAAGCTTTTTTTCTTTTTTTTATTTTAAAATGTTGCCCCACACTAGGATTTTCTCCTGTGTCGTAGGTGCGTTTGCAGACATACACACATTTTATTTAAAATCTAAGGAGGTACGTTTATTGACAAAACTTTATAAAATGTTGAAATTTCTTTCTCGTACGACTTTTTTGTATTTTCCAGTTTCTTTGTTTTACTTTCATGTTACAGTTGCAGCTACATTTAGAATAAATTGAATTGTATATGAGAATAGGGTAGATGCCTAATTTTTATTTTAATGTCCGTCTGATAGATTATTTTAAATCATTAGACACGTATTTTTTAATTTCTTACATAAACGAATAACTACTTTCGACGATATATTGATTTGAAATGTGGCGTGACGTCACTTCTAGGTACATTTTATACGTAGAAATGATGTTTGATACGTTTTATCTAAGTATTGTTTTGTTATACGACAAAATAAAAAAATACGTGGTTAAAATTTTTTCATTACCTAACTTACGGACTAATTAGATTTTTAATTTTCATACCCTGTCATCATCCCAATTAGGATAATGCATGAAGGGAAGCAGCCTCCTAGGGCCGCTAAAGTGGCGGGACCTGCCGCAAACATAGCGGTAGATTGAAGCCTGCCGGATTTGGTGATTCCGTAACCCGGGTCACGGTCACAGGCAGTGAAGGAACACCGCGGTGGTTTTAGCCGGTAAGAGTCCGGCACGCCCCCTCGTCGTCCTCACGACGCGGGAAGTCCATGAGGATTTCCATCGCGATAGAAAAAAAAAAAAATTAGGATAATGCATCAGGATACCCTTTATTTACTCTACGTTATCTTTTCACTAAGCTTTTTCTTTAAACTTTGTTATTGGCAGCCCTACACGGTTGATAGAGCCCGGGGCGCGGCATGCGTTCATTAAGGCTTACATCGCAGAGCCCGCAAAAGGCAACGCAGCTGACCCACATAGTTACTTCAATTCGATTTAGCCACGTGTGATCTGTACACGACCAATTGTTTCTTTATTATGGGTTAATACTATCAAATAATTAAAACTCGGTACGTATGTATTATACATTAAAATTGTCACCTACAAACGCGCAGCATCACTGAATCAGGGAGTAATGCAGTGATGCTGTTTGTTTACAGATGACGATTCCCTTGTGCAAACAGCCACTTGTGGTAGGGTGGCCTCTGGTGGGCATTGGATGCCTTTCGGCTTGTGATGTTTTCTGGAGATCTGGTATTTTTTCCATTGTTAAATAGATTTAACTTAAAGTCAGTGTGACATGAGGAATGAAAACACTTTTTCTTTTAAACCACTTATATTTATTTTTTGACCGTTCAAGCACTCTCTGTTTTTAAAGGCCTTAATGATTTACAGAGATACCTCAACGATGATCATGATTAATTTCAGTGTTGTATTACTTAAGATTTGATAGCTGAAATAAAATAAACATCTATATATAAATGTTAATGAAATAACTGTCTTGACAAAACATTAAATTTACTGGAACCACGAAGCGAACTTCGTACCTAAATATGTGTTATTAACTGGCCAATTTTACCAAAGAGTCCAATCACTTTCAATGCAAAATACAGTAACTATAATATAGTCTATAATTCAGTTGTATGTTACACATTCCCAGACTACATGTGTCGTATATATTTTAAACAATAGCGGTGGGCGTGGCGAATAAGCTCAGGTGTGAAGTAATTATGTAAATTCACTTGTATTTGTGATATAGTACCTCGGGCTGTGTGACTTATGGCTCTGTGGTGTGATTATAATCAAACACTTGATATTATGTGGTTTATTTTTGTAGCAAAAATGAGGTAAGGAGGGCAACAAATCTGTGGTAAAGGATCTAGATCCTTAAAATGGTCTACATTCAGGTGCTGCTATAATCGTGATCTTTGGTTATAGACCAACTTGTTGGTTTTCAGCCAAAATTCCTGATCTAGTCGCGGAGAACCTAACGGATAACCGGGGCTCCGACTCGACGTGCAGGAGAAGGAACGGGGTGGTTTTTAGTCAGTAAGAGTCTGACACTCCCTCCCGCCTCGCCCAGGCGGGAGCAGTCATTCGATGATTTTCCCCCATAAAAAAAAGCCCGGGTCGACATAGCTTGTCACTAGGGCAACCGCGCGACTGTAAGTGCAGTCTAGGGCGTTAAAGTGTGTAGGTATTTTTTTTTTTAAGGGGGCAAAATCATCGAATGACTGCTCCCGCCTGGGTGAGGCGGAAGGGAGTGTCAGACTCTTACTGACTAAAAGCCACCCCGTTCCTTCTCCTGCACGTCGAGCCGGAGCCCCGGTTACCCGTTAGGTTCTCCGCGACAAAGTGTGTAGGTATAATCATAACTTTTTTTATAAAAATAAACTCTTGCGACTCAAACGTGGATTTCTTTCTAACTGCCAATTCGCTCAGTTTGGTTTATATATAAATATCATTTGGTTTGGTTGTTTAAAATGTTGAATGTACCTCTGTAATGATATTTTTAGTGTCAGCATAACCTATAATATTAACACAAACGTCCCGTTCGGAGTAAACGTACCTAAGTGAATCTTGGTAATTTTGAGCATCTAGTTGATTTTTGGATAGCTACATGGAAAAAAGAGCTATAAAATAAACTGTAAAATGAACAAACAAACAAGTAGGTAATGCAACTTATATTTATTTTAAGGCCCTATATTTTAAGATATACACATTTTTATTTCGTATTACTACATACATAATAAGGAATTCCAAATTTAAAATATTTTTTTTTGAGTTATCCATCCATACATTACATATCAGTCAGTACCAGTCAAAATATCCTTACTTTCTTTTCGTTTTTTGTTTAACAAATGTCCTTATTAAATAGTAATATGTGTAGAGATGTAGAATTATGATACTCGAGGCTGTCGTAAACGTTATTCAATCTGTTCATAGTATACTGTCGCTTTTATATCTGTGCCTTCCATTGTGATTGTCTGAAAACAAAAAAAAAAAATAAAAATAAAATGTAGACCTATCTATCTTGATGAATATGTGTCCTATGAACAAGTGTGTAATTTTAAGTCGTTAGATGTAAGAATGTTCAGGATACTAATGCTATTTGGTTTCGTATTATTTTTTCATAAATACGCCAATAAAAGTATGACAAGTACCGCCCCGGTAACCCGCGGCTCCGGCTTGAAACAAAAGTAGGAACGGGATGTTTTTTAGTCAGTGTCTGGTCTGACACTAATTCTTACCCAAGGCGGGAAAACTCGTTGGATGAATTCCTCCCGTCAAAAAAAGGACTACGAAATTGGGTACATGCCTTAATCAAAAATAAATTATTTCGACTGTTAACTACAATCAAATATTAAAAAATAATCACGCTTTCAGTAACTGATTTTATGACCAACTTTATATTTTAGTATTTTTCCAGAAAATTTTTAAGAAATAAGTATGCCGTTTGGCGCTTAAAAAACGTGACGTCACAATACACAATCTCGTACAAAATTCATAGACAACTATCGTTTTTGACAGTTCGAAAAAAGTAATGAATTTGACTAGTTAGCAAGTACCTGACCAATTCGTAGCACTTAGTAGCGGGAATAATTAGTCTGATTAAATTAGACTTCTCTCTAAAATTATTATTCAGTATCGACTTTTTAGTTGCTATTGTGAAAGGTAATGTATATTGTGAACGTAACTGAAATTTCAAAACGCATTGCGATATAATATACCTACTTATTGAAGTATTCTTTTTACCAATTGTCATGTATCATACATAATATGCAAATCTAGTCTATCTAAGTAGGTGGCAATATTGTTGTCCGGATATCCGTGTAAGTGTAGCAATTATTTGTTATTATAAATATACGTAATCTTGAACGTACTGATTTGTTTGCATTTTGGTACAGTCACTGTTACTTAAGTTATGCTGTTCTAATTGGTACCGTTATGGACTAATAACTTTGCTAACGTATATAATATCTTCAGTTATTTAATATTTATACATACATAGGACAGACATTGTATTATTCATTTATAAAATTAAATAAAATCTTTAAAAATGTTAACTTATTAATATACAGAGAAAAATGATATTCAGAAACTTAACTTTATTTTTGTTATCATAATTTGACAGTCTCTTTTACGAAGTTAATAAAAAAGCAGTTTGCATTAAAATGTAGTTAATTATTTCAATCCTGGCTGATTTACACAAAAAATATGTGTGAATTCCATTTGGTGTAAGAAAAAAGAAAAAAATTAAAAAGAAAAACTTTAATGGCATTTTCCTGTTTTTTCGAATAAAACGGCCAGTACTTTTTTGATTTACCAATGTAGTTAGTACCTTGCAGGTTTAATGCGTTAGCATTTTTATAAATGAGTTTGAGGTTTTATACGTTTATTCTTTCGTAACTTTTTTAAATTAATCTTACCATTTTAGCTTCTTTTTCTCCAAAGTCTCGCCTGAAGTATGCTACTCTTCCATCTTTCGGTATGATGACTTGTTTTAAAACGTTGTCACCTTCTAACGTGTATGTTAGTCTAACCTAGAAAATATGAATATAAATATGAGCACAACACGTAAGAATGTAAGGTTAAGTAGAAAATATAACAACTGTAGTTTTCGACGACCTCGAGAACAATATAAAGTATTTTCCTTAGCAGTTTGTAAAATTGTATAGTTTGTGTAAAATATTATTATTCATACAAGAGAAAGAAGAACCTCACTGGCTTACCTTGGAGCCATCTCGCCTCTCCATTTCATGTTCCTCTCCCAGCTTGAAGTCATGTGTCATGGTTCTGTTGCTCATCTGCAGTGTGAAGTTGAAGTGGTCCTCATCGATTCGGGTGAAGGAGAAGATTGGTGCGTTGCTTGTCAACATATGTATTACTCTTTCATCTGTGCCTGGGGAGAGAAAAATATAGTTATTGGAATAGGCTCTTTTATAACAATAGGGTAGTTTCCCAAATTTTATTTTAATGTCCGTCTGGTATATTAATTTAAAACATTAGACACGCATTTTTTCTTTTCTCACAAAATTGAATAGTTTAAACGATATATTAATTTGAAATATCGTGCGACGTCACAGCGTGTCACATTTTGTAGCACGTTATGACATAACGACCTCTCATTGCAACTTAATACGAAAAAATAAAAAAATACGTGTCTAATATTTTTTCAATATCTAACTGACGGACTAATTAGATTTTTAATTTTGGTACCCTAGAAAAAGTTTGGCTAATAGTGCGCTTAGATGGTATAAGTCAGCAGTTTTCAAAAGGTGGGGAACACGCTTGTAAATCTTCTTGTGTTGCTTATATCTATGGGTGACATGACACCGATTTGTTTCTACCAGATGACCCGTCTGCTCGTTTGCCGATCATAATAAAATATCTTTTTCCGCATTACAGCTTAGGTACATTCCCTCCCTACACACACTTCATACATGATTTTTATAACATTCAATTAATTATCAATTATTTAATAAAACATGTAATAAAACGAAGATAAGGAGTAATATTTTTAGCTATAGCACATAGGTACTATTTGCTATCGTATTTTTAAAGATTTGGTGCAGTTTCCGCGTGATGTGAAAATAAAATCAATAATACCAACAGTACGTACGTTGATGTTCTGATAGCAAGTCATCCTGACTCGATATAAACCAGTTCTAAGCGAATATTTTTCTATTTGGTTCATGAATATTACATTTTTGTTGAATGAAATGTTTGTCTACTATCACGTCAAATATGATACCAAACAAACATGCTTGCGTTTCCAAATATCGAAGTAACAGCGTCACGCAGTTTAAGAATGATCATTAAAAAGCGTCTGATTGTTATTAAAAAACTTAGGTAGTTGTCTCACCAGCAACAACTAACAAGTAACGAGTAGAGCTAGAATTGGAACCGAGTTGGTGACCCGCGGGGAGCGAGTGCATATAGTTCCGATAGCCTTGTTTGCACTGCGCTAATATTTTAGACGCTTCGATTTTGGGACAGGAGCGAGAGAAGGCTTAAATACTCTCTACTCAACTAAAATACTAGCACATTGTAAACACGGCTTTAGTTGCTCTTGCGAGTGCTCGCCGGCAGTGTGTATATGCGTTTACACGGAATGTATATCTATTATACGTTTCTACAAGACAAGTACCTTATATGAAAGGGTTGGCCATAATCTCGATGCTTTGCAGATGGGCTGCCGATGGCAGATCAAAAGGTTCAAGTTTGTCAGGCAGCATTGCTACACTATCTCTGTCAAAGGTGAGGTTCCTAATTCGGGTCTATAAACCCACAAGAAGACCATGGGTGGCGACAAATATATTCGATCTACCATCACCACACGGTACTTTTAGCCTTTATAATGCATTCTTATCATAATTAAGACACGATAATAGTAATAATATAATCTCCCAAACCGCTCATGGTGGTCAAACCAAAAAATTGCTGACTCATCGCGTTCTACATACGCACATAATATGCCTACGTGATCCATAGAAAAATAAATATGTAACGTAAATATTGAAGGTCAAAGCTAAATGCTGACTAACTAACCAATTGATGCTGACGTTTTTAAATGGTAATGAGAAGGAAAACTGCTCTCTTTTCTTAGGATCATAGATATCAATAGATATAGAACTTATGTGTGAGTAGGTTGGGAAAGGCCAATATGATTCATAGATAAATGAAATCATATACAGATAACTGAAACCATTCAACAAAGGTTTGACAAGAAACATAACATAACATCGAACCAAACACACAAAGAATCGTGCGTCGCGTTGGTGGGGTGCGTGACTGGGTTTTCAATTTAGTTTTACCAGGACTTACACCTAATTTGGATCTGGATTCTGTACTAATATTGAGAATTTTTGAAATTCGATAAACTCTTTGGCGCATTACAGACACCATTGGTGATTGGCAAAGAAGTCAAAGTTGATTCAAATTTCTATTGTATTTTTTTTCATGCAAATACAAATAGAAAATTATCTGCGGTAGGTTAATGGAATGGTTCAGTATAAGCATTGCCAAAACTTCACCATTACGACAACAACAAACGTACCTCTATATTTTTTTAACAAATCGATATTTTTTTTGTAATATTCCGCTTTTCGACGATTCTGTCTAAATAATGTTAGATAGTAGGTGAGTGGATAAGATATTACGTACCAGCCTGCTGCTCTTTTCAAAAGATAAATATGTTGAGGTTCATTGAAACAAGATATTTGATAAGACTAGAAAAACTCAAATGACTTCCATGGATTAGTGATTCACAATACTTTTTTTTAAGAGGGGAAAATCATCGAATGACTGCTCCCGCCTGGGTGAGGCGGAAGGGAGTGTCAGACTCTTACTGACTAAAAACCACCTCGTTCCTTCTCCTGCACGTCGAGCCGGAGCCCCGGTTACCCGTTAGGTTCTCCGCGACGATTCACAATACTGTGTTTTCCCTTTTCTTATAAAACCGTTTCCCTACCCTAGGATTTTCTAGTGTGTTGTGCATACAATATTACATATGTACACATCAAACCAAGACTCAGAACAACAATTTATGAACAAACAAAGAGTTGTTTCGTGCGAAAATCTAATCCGTAATACGTTGCAGAGTAGCCAGTTGCTTAATCACTACATCAATCATACTGTTAGTACTAGAGGTGTTTTTACCGATTTCTACCATTCTTATGGTTTTTTTTAAATCGGTGTGAGGATATATATGGTTTTGTTAGTGGCTTGTGGCACCTAACTAGGTACATTATTTCATGAATCGTTGATATAGCTACTTACCCATAGTAATTGCTATTTACATTTATACAAAAAACCTAACTGTACAGAGCAGTCATTATCATCACAATAATCATATTTTGAGGTAGGTCTGTACATAAACATTGATAATATTTAATTTTTACACTTTACTGTTACTTCACTTAATTCTTTTGTTTTAAGCAAATCAAATCGTCACAGAAACGACCAAAGCAACTATAATAGTAATTCATTCATACCTACATATTTACTAAAATTATTTATACCAAAAATAAACCGATCAAAGTCCATTTCACAGAAATATCGCAATCACCATGACTGTCAAAGAATCAAGAAACAGCGAACAAAACCGGCCGTCGAACACTAACGAATATAACACAGACATAATATAAAACACAATATATATCATAATATCATGACTATATTATATAAACAAACCAATAAACACAAAAATAAAGGCACTCACTGGTAGCTTTAACTATTTCTTCAATATTTTCTGATCGCACTCTTCTGAATTTCTTGCCTGAGAACGACATTTTTGTTCTTGTCTAAAAACAGTAATGTCGAATATAATATTTGGTTTCGTATAATATATCGAGATAATTCGCATATATGCGTTGTCATTGCGATAAGATTCCGCGCTAGATTGTGTCGTATCAATGAAACTAGTAACTTATATATTGGTTTTACACATCACACATAGCTATAGGCACCAAACTAAACTATATTATTATGGTTTTTATAATTGGTTGAATATTTTGTATGTAAAATCAAAGTCTACAATGATGTATGTCTATTTATTTGTTTCTTGAGCGATATCTATTATATTATCACATGCCACCACTGTGTGTTCTTATCAAGTTATCACGACACGTTTCGTGCTCGCCCGATAATTTTCGAGCTTCAATGTAATCGTTGTGTACGAGTTTATAAGTGATATATTTAGCATTTATTTACTTCGATTCGATTTTGAGTAGGTGGCAAAGATGACCGGCACTTAAACATTTAATCGCGGTAATCAACAAACAAACTAATCTATAGCTCTAATTATATAGTTACATATTTATTATTTACTTTACATGATAAATATGTAGGGCTTACTGGCATGTGCTCTTTATAGCTATGGGCTCCTGACGTAGTTGAAACTAGTCAAAGCAAAGGTGATTGGTCAAATTACATAACATAACATAACATCACGCCTATTATCCCCGAAGGGGTAGGCAGAGGTGCACACAGAAGTAACACCCACTTTTCACTATTTATGTTATGATTCCCACGTAACAGGGGGTGAGCCTATTGCCATATACCGGGCACAATTCCAGACTCCGTGCTACCGCTGAGATTTTTTTTTAAAACCCTGTAGTACATACAATATGATTGGTGAAATTGTAATTAATATTTCACACTATGTATGTCTTTATTTTCCAATTATTATGATCATGGTTTATGATGCTTCTATAAAAACTTTTGAAATTATTTGCCCTAAACTAGCGGATTTTACAATGAAGATTTATTTATTCCTTTACAGTACACACACAAGAAAGTGAAAATATAATTATGTACCTATTAACTTATATTTTTTTTTTACAATAAATCGGCACACGCCATTGCGCCAACAGCTAATGAATTAAAGGTATTTGTGAAAGAAACATCATTATTCAGGGGATTACCTTGCATGCAGCATACAGCTACAATTTACGATGTTACAATTTATTTAGGTTACCAACTGTCGCTGAGCTGGTCAGTCTGCCCTCAGTCTACGTGTCTTGGTCTCTTTGTACTCACTGTGTGTTGCATGTTACATAATTGTACCACTGTGCCATTGGGCCCCGCGGGCATGACGTGACGAAAGTAAAGAGCAAAAATTGATATATTTTGCTAATTAGTTTAAGTATTTTGAAATTAGAACTTGTGTCTCGTAATTGGTTAATAGTGATTAAAGAGATTTCTGTGATGTTAAAATTAAAGTAGGTTTTGTATAAGGTATGGTAAAGCAAACATATTTTTTTTTTAATTTTTATTTTTAATTTTGTTTAGTCGTAATAAAGTGAAAATGATATTTCTTTCTCTTTGTAATCACTTAATCAGGGATGTTATGGATATGAAATTTCGGATAGAGATTGGATGCGGATATAGAAATGATTAAAACACTGGATGCAGTTACGGATACGGATATGAAATTATTTGGGATTATCCGTTAATTTCGGATTATTTCGGTTACAGATATTAAAATTTTAAGGAATTTCAAAAGTAAAATACAAATAGCTAATATAATGGTTTCATTTATACGTCACGCCCCTATCCGATAGTATCCGAAACTTTTATATCAGATTCGGTTACGGATATTTTTTTACATCGGATATCCGATAGGTTCGGTTACGGTTACGGAGCTCCCTAACATCCTTTGTGTTCAGAGATGTCTTGCGACACAAAATATCATTTTGTGTGTCGCATGAGGATAGCTTTCCATAATCCTAGGTTAATATTTATTAGCTTAAATTATATTTGCCATAATTTAATGAAGTAGTACTGAACTGATTATTATTATTTTAAACGATAAATCAAATATTTGAGTAGATCATTTGATTGCGGATGTTCCGGCTTACTTGGATGTTATGTGGATTTACTCAATCATGGTCTCGTGCTGAGTGGTCAACAATTAATTAGGTATGTTGTTATCGCAAATTAATGTTTATTTAGTATTAAATATAAGGACATCCTTCATGCAGAGTTGTATTAAACCTAGATGGCGCCCCTTCTCCGGCCAACGTTAGCGCGGTCCTGCGGACGGCGAGCATGGGTAGTTCGCCACCCGACTAGAACCAGACCCGAGCGTACGGCGCGGCGCGTTCAAAGAGCCATCAGACTACCACGGATGGGACCCAATAGGGCTGATGCCGATTCGGAGTCGCGGAGAACCTAACAGGTTACCGGGGCTCCGGCTCGAAGTGCAGGAGAAGGAACGGGGTGGTTTTTAGTCAGTAAGAGGTTGACACGCGGGAGGGACTCGCGTCTCCCAGGCGGGAGCAGTCAATCGATGACTTTTCCCCCTTAAAAAAAAGATGGCGCCCCTAATTTTTTTAGTGCCACCACCACTCTATGGTCAAGGTGTCTGCGCGTACCGCGGCGCCTCTCTGTAACCAGACGCCGTAGGCAGTTCCCTAGTTCACCTTAGTAGGGATAATACGCCTCTGTATCCACGTCATTTAATGTTTACGTTATAGATAGCAGTAATATAAATCCGTATCATCTTGACCGGACAGTTTTAGGTTAAGCATTTCATTTGGGTAGATAATAGTCGTATTTAGGTAGGTTCATATTGTGCTGTGTAATCGGATTTCAGCTGTTTTGTTTACATACACGAGTAATATTGAATAATCCATTATTAACCGATAAGTCACAATGACTCTTATATTCGGACTTGATGATAGTCATTGAGCCTTAAGGTGTTGAGCTTTCATCAGAGCACATAGAATACAACCCACGATTTAAAGCAATATTACCTACATAACATAACATAACATCACGCGTTTTATCCCCGAAGGGGTAGGCAGAGGTGCATACAGAAGTGACACCCACTTTTCACCATTTATGTTATGAGTAAACTAAAATCGTTGATATTGGCCATAAAGCCGCAGGCTTGAAGTGGAACTGGGCTGGTCATGTCTGCCGCATGTCATACGAGCAGTGGGCAAAACTTCCTACTGAGTGTAGCCCACTCAACGTCAGTAGACATCGCGGCACGCCCAAAAGAAGATGGCGGGACGAATTAGACGTCTATGACAAGGATTGGCCGCAAAAAGCTTTACATAGAGTGGAGTGGAAGAAGGGTAGGGAGGCCTTTGCCCTGCAGTGGGACGATCATGGCTGAAAATAAATAAATGTTATGAGTCCCATGTAATAGGGGGTGAGGCAATTAAAGCAATATTAGTTGCTTTTGAGAACTAGATCTCATAGACATTGTTCTAAGTTTTATCCGCAAATTACTCTAATGTACCCATGTTTTTATTGCCGAAAATCCACATGGCAGTCAGCCAAAATCCAATACTCGTAAGTTGTATTACACAGCTGTATGTGGTTTCCATACTTATTTATTGGACAGTGTGTTCAAGTGAGACTTTTATTGCTTTAATATTGGTAATAATGTCTTGTAATAAAAGTATTTCGTTACCAGTGCTGAATTTAAAGAGGCTGGTTTGAAATACTTGATCGTGATTTTGTCAGAGACTTTTGTGGCTTCTTGAAACTCGGTTTAACTTTGAAAAGTCAAGCTTGGTGATCAAAATATGTGTAACAGAATCAAAATAATTTTGTACGTATTGTTAATCTGTAAAAATGCTGTAGTGAGATTGTTGAGTGACCATAATACGTAGATTTTTAATATGTACTTAGATTTTTTATTTCAGCTTTTTATTTTATGTTTTAATTTTAAGTATTTCTTAGTTTTTATTTTACTTTCCAATTATCATAAATACTGATAAAAGTGTCATCGTTAGGCTACTTTGCATGTTGTGACACCTTAAAATGTTGTGCATTTAAAATGTATTACAATGTAAGTGCTTAGATATAAGACCTAATGTAGCAACTACTGGTTGTCCAAATTATAAATAAATATATAAATAAATAATCTCATTAATCTTTCTTTTGCATATTATTATCCAGAGTTCTAGTTGGTATAAAGGTTTGAGATTTGGAATTCTTTGTTTCGAGAATACAACCTCATAGAGCGATTGACGTGGCTTTAGTTAAAAAAATTAAAGCGTTCAGTTCATAAAGAAGTAACTGACTAAGCGTATTCAAGGCGGTGAGATCACAGACATACTTTTAAATACTAATATCCTGTTGTTTTTACAAGTATTTAGACCACATGGTGACTTAATAGTTGTAGCTGTTGAGGTATCCGAAGTATTGTGAACATTATTGCGGTACTTATTGGCGGCGTCAGCTAATGTCAGGGTTAAATGATACGATCAGCATCAGCACGGAACTGGACGGCAGATATTGTTAAGAGTTCCTTTTTTAAAAATTTCTATTTTTTATTGGGTGTTGTCTATTGTTCGTTGAGTAAAAAAAGTTTTGGTTTAAAAAGTTTGTTAATATTTGATGTTATTATTATTTATAGGGAGGACCTATCTAAAGTTATGTGATATAAAAGCTACATCAAGTTAATAAAGATTGTTTTCACATATATCTAAAATATTTTTTTTTATCTACTATTGTAATTGTCTTATTTTTTTATGTTTTTTAATTAAATTTTAATGGTATTTTTAATGTGATGTTTATTTATGTGTGTTTTTTCTTTTTCTGTTATTGTAACTGTTTGATTCTCTTTGTATGTGTGTTAATGTAATTGGTGTAAAGCCGTGTTAACATCACAATAATAAATAAATAAATAATAAATTTTGAACAGTTTTTGTAGGTGCGTAGAAGGAAAGTGCTCCAGTAATTATAGTACCTAGTAACAATGACGCAGCATAAATTGCTTTTTTGGATTTTTTTAAGAGATTATGATAATCGATAAGAACCTACTAAAGAAGTGTCACGCACGTTATATGTTACCTACTGTTATAGTTATTTTGAAAGTGTTTACTAACAATGACAATATTTTTTCACATAAGGACATTGATCAAGTGTTTGCTCACGTGAGAGAGAAACGAGAACTTCCGAGTTTGATCACCAGTAGAAAAAATCAGTATTTTGGTTCAATATTTTAAACAGATTTAGATATCATCACATCAACAGCCTATAAATGACTACTCCTGAGCAAAGCCTCTTCTCACACGGAGAGATTTAAAGATAAAACAAATTTTTTAAACAAGACATATCTTTAGGGCTATTGTCAAAAGATTAATTATTCTATGCTTTAAAATATTGAAGCTATGTTTAAAAACTGTGTTATTGTAGGTATATTTAATGATTTGGAGTGGATTAAATGTACAATAATAGTAAATAATCTAATATAACTTAAAGTATAAAACATTTTAGTATACACCTGTGTGCTGTACCCAACTGGGCACAAGTTAAATGTGCGCAGATAAATTGAAGTAAACTAACGAGCTTTTTATGATATCCTGTGTAATATTCGATCTATTAATCAAAAGTAATTTTAATCTAGACCAGTTCATATTACTCACGAAATGATTCACGAAAAGTTCATATTCATCATAGTCTTAATAATGTTCAAACGTAATGTATGTTTTTAAAATGGAACAAAAATAAACAATACAACTAACATTATAATCTACGAAGGGACGATAGGTAGACTCGCACATTTATAAATTCCTTACTGTGATCTTTTTATTATTATATATTTAATGTTGTGAGACTTCTGACTAGCTCTAACTTAGCCTAACCTACAGACTCGAAATTTTGGATTTTAAGTATGTGGTTATAGCTTACTGGATACTCAAAGTGGTCTTATCCAGAAGTTCTCAAATCCCCTATTTGCCTGCAAATCCGGCGAAATTGTTCCAGTAAAAGATGGTACGACAGTGTTTGCTTCGCGCTCGACTTGGCGGCGGCACTGCCATGCACTCAGATAATGGTGTATGGTGTATCCGAACCAGTATGCGCATTCAAGACCCCTTGCTCCGTCTTCCAACTTACCATCACCTAACTAACAAAGCATACATACATACATAACCTTAGACTAGTCTGAGATGGGGGTAGGCAGAGACTAAGGAACGCCAATTGCTAAGATTTTTACATACATCAAGTAACAAAGCAGTCCCTAGTTAATTAAAATATAAATAAATGGCATCATACGGAAACAATAACATCGTGTTAGGTCAGATCTTACGTGCGATATGCGTACAAGTACTCCTAGTAGCATTAAGTACCAAAACTAAACAATGGATAGATGTACCTTCGTAAGAAAATCGGACAATATTCCCAAGTTATAAGGAAATGAGACACGTACCTATATACAATAGATACACAGACAGATACACAGTCGGTTTTCCGTAAAACTATTGTAATTGATGTCTGTAATTAAATTTTGGTGCCGTACGTCGCTCTGATGTATCATTCCCCGTTTGTTTTGGTCAAGGTGAGGATGTTAGTGTTAGATGTTAGAAGTTAGAAGAAAGTGTCTTTTGATAGGCTTTTCAGTCCTTTACTATTATTACTATTACCAATATAGGCATAGCAGTAGGTATGTAGGTATAGTAAGTACCTATGTAGTATTTAGTATACCTAAGTAGATAGGTAGTCCAAGTTCTTTTCCAGGTCGGGAATACTTCAAAAGCTTTCCTTACTAAGAGTGTACTAAATATTGGACATTTTGAAAGCCATGTTTGAGCTAGACGCAGGTCTAGTCTATAGTCTAGTGCAGAGCTGTCCAAAATATATACCCTCGCGGGCTAATTAAATTTCTTACGCGGGCTATTAAAAGCAGGAGGGCCAGAAAAATATTTTCAGTTGTATAATGACGTTTAACATTATATTATTTACTTATAGACTAAACTTGTATATAAATCAAACACTGAATTTTATTATTGTTGTAGCACGTAAGATGAAGATGTTGAGATCAAAACGTGTGTCGCGGGGCACATGAAAACAAGCCAAGCATGCGGCCCGCGTGCCTTTGTTTGGACAGCCCTGGTCTAGTGTAGTAATGATTTGTTAATGGGTGCGGTTGTACATATTTGACAGTTTTGATAGTGAGAGTTCCTGACTAGTCTGCTCTCGATAGTAGCACATGTTATAAACTAGAATTGGAGCTTTCAATGAAATAAGCTTACAAAATATTTTGTTTTTAATGTTATACAGTAAGACATTTAAATAAATCTATCTGTCAGTGTTCTCATTCACTGTTTTTCAAATAGTTGCGTAGTAAATGAAAATCTTTTTTTTTGCTAGAATAACAATTTTATGCAATACCACTGCAGCGACTAGTTTGTAACGAGAAGAATTATTCATTATCCTGACAGCCTTTTAACTCGAACCTTCATCAGTCATAGTAATGTGACACACGGCGGCATTCCGCGCGGTGGCGGTGACGCATGAAATGTAACAGCATTTCTGTGTAAGCGCGGCGCGGCGGCAGTGAGCTGGTGAGCTGCCGTCCCGCGGGTGACGGTGAGCGCGCGACCTTGCGCCGGCCACCACCGGCAGGGCGGGGGCGCCTATGACTGCGACCGGCCTGCGTTACTCCGCCACTCGTACTTTGCTAACGATACGACCAACGCGCTTCCAAACTTATAATTCGAATTTTCAAAATACGACGCGTTCGGAATGACAGTTTGATTTTTTAAATCATGTGGCTTTGGTTCGTTTTTGTCGCCGCGGCTGCGGTGCTGTCGGGCGTCGAGAGCGCAGGCGCCGGCGCCGCCCGCCTTGTCTGTTATGTGGAAAGCGCGCGCGCGACCGACGGATTTTCCGAGTGCACACATCTCGTTTACGCGGGCGACGCGAGAGGAGATAAACTCGACACTTTGCTGAAGGAATACAAGAAAAGCAATCCCCGGCTGAAAATTATATTGAGAATCTCGGAGGTTGACAAGGTAAGAATTTAATTATAACTACCTAATGAGAAATACGTCGAAAATCTAGATTAACAGAATAGTATTTCATTAAGAAGTCCTAACACATGTAGAAACGTTAAGTATTGAATAAAACTAATTACTTTTTACCGATGGTTAAATAACGCTTCCGACATGTCTCGTCCATACAGATGAGTACGTATTCTTTTGTTACAAGTAAACGAGTGTGTCCTATTCGCATGGAAAGTGTACAACCAGTACTAATTGAGTTGGTACCACGAGTGCATTGTTTCGTAATCATTATGCTAATTGACGAACATGTTAACTATGGTTTGGGAAGTGGACCGTGCCTTATGAGAACATCCTCTATCGTCCAAATTTTCTCTAAGAACAGTTTTAAGAAAGTAGATCGCTATAGAAAAGCGTTGGTTTTAGGTACTTTTAGTTTCGTTTATTTAATTTGTGTACTTATAACGTTGTAACATGAAAAAATAAACTTGTTTTAATATTAATACGTTTAATTTTAAATCGAATGTTGGTTAATCGTTTAGTCGTAATTATTTAGAGCAATCAAAGTTTCATAGATTCGTCAATTATTGATTCTATAAAAGCAAAAAAGCCTACACTTCGCATTTAAAAAAGCTAAGGAAGGAAATAAGAAAAAAAATAATTTGATTCTAAACGAATTTTAAAATGGTAATCAATATCCAGAAAAGGCGCGAACACGTTCTGTAAAATTAATGGAGGAAAACCATAGACTATATTATGCTGGTTTGAACGGAAACTTAAAAAAGGTTTTATACCGGTCTAGATTAGGTGTGGCTATTACAAAATATATTATCTACATTACGTTTATTCCCACGGTAAATATTATGTTATTGTAATGAATATTAATTGTCAGATGTCGTGATATCATTATGACAATGACTGTTTATGATTTGTTTAGATTATGACATGATACGATTAAGTCATACCTCCTATTTTTATCTGAAGACAAACTAGAGCTATTAATAAAATTGTTTGAATAAAGGTATAATGTACCAAAGTAAGTACCTAATATAATAAGTGAACTAAAAACTAAAATAATGGAAAATGTTAGATTAATAGTTTGATAGTATTTTGTCATTCTCATCTGTATAAACTAAAACGGTTTTATCAAATAAGTCCAGATGTCTCGGAGAATTGAGTTCATCTTATCTTTATTGATAAAATTCTTCTCATTTTCTGTTTTTCCGAGTTTAGATAATGTATTTTCCAATAAACCCTGGCCAATTTGGTCTAGTTTGGAATATGGCTATTTGATTAAGATACAATTACGTAAAACTATTTGTATTTGTATAGATATATCTATTTACCGTTTTCATTCAAATAACTCATTTACCAGATAGTAATATCATAAAAGTAGTAACGTATCTAGATTTTTTCGCAAATTAAAGTATGCCATTCAAACACGGCTTTTCAAAAAATGAATCGTATTTCAACCTCATTTGTCGGCAGCATAACAATACTATGTACTTATTTATTACACCGTATGATGCAATGACCGCAACTTCGCAGAGCCTTTATAAACATTGGTTTACCCGAAATAACTTGATTGACCTGTCAAATTAATATGGTCGACTTGACCTTACGCAAGTTTTTTCAGAAATGAGGTCCGTATGTGGAGCACGGTGGCCTGGCTTAATGTTACCGACATTACGTCCAAACTGGTTGTGTTAAGGCATCTTGTATGCGACAGATGCTTTGCTTTAAACTTTTTCCTTTTGCATTTTAATGAGCTGTAATTTTATTAATGTAGGAACGAAATGTTGGCTTAGCAAATCTATCGAATATAGTTATTAAAATGTACCTAGGCTATGTGCATAGATATTTTGTTGCTATGGGTATGAAGTCATAGCATTTGGTAATTTTAGAATATGTAAAACTTGAGAGACAAACACCTCTTTGTCTCTCTAGTTTACATTGTCTTTTTTCAGCTTATAACGTCATCAACTTCATGTCCTCTAGACTTGTAACACGGCTGATCTCGGATGGTTTATCATTTCATCCATTTTACATAAAAATTCCAATGAATCAGAGACATATAAATAGCCCTTTTGACTTTTAAAAATTTCTTCTCACGTTTCTGATTGCGCGGAAATGTCACCTTAAACCGTTGCAGTGAGATGACGTCATGCAAACGAGTGCGTTCTCACGTCCGCGACCTCGGGTAGTAGGCTGCAACATGCATCTGCGAAGGACCATCGCAGGCACATCGCTAATATTCATGAAAATCGTAAAATCTTGCATAAAATTAATAAAGAGGTCTTATTGGTCATGTCATAAAAGATACAAAGTACTAGCGTATTATTATTGGGTTTGTACTTGGATGTAGCGTTTAGTAGACATTGATGCCTCCGACGCAATGTATGGTCAAACGTGTTCATTCTATAGGTCCACATTATTCAGGTCTGTAGGACATAACTAAATGTAAAACTATTAACCAATAACTATCAAATACTAAACATAGGTACATGAGTCGTCGTCGTACTCGTCTTAACAATAAAAAATGTAATTGCACACGCAAGTGACACAAGGTAAGCAAAAAGACGCAGGATGTAGACAAGATGACATCTGATATGAGGGACGATAAACTATCCGATGGTGCTGCACGGAGCACTAGGCCGTGTCAACTCAAGATGACTGAACTATAGACTTGTGTTATTGTAGAGATTACTATTTCCTTAGAATTACTTAATTGCTGCCGTGGTCTGGGCAAAGATGAACACTACTTGTTTCTAAAAAATGTCATTAATGTCACTCCTTGTTCTCGTATCTTCTCTTATTGAAAAGATCGACATTGAGACACTTACTTTTGATCAGATTCAGTGGAATTACAGTTTCTCTCAATTCTTTATCAATCAGTTGATAATAGACTCTCAATTTTCAATACTGTAGGTATCAACATAATCAACTTTATCATTATCAATATGAAGCCTCATTGCTAAACAGTGTGCTGGAAGATCTTCATAATATGAGGCGACGTTTCGGTCGTTCTGACAAAAGTTAAGGTATCTTAGGTAACCTCTTTGCGTTCTGAATTCACAAAGAACTTGACCATTGACTGTTGACTATATTTGTACTTTTTGGTTGAACTGTGAAAAGGTGAAGCCGAAATTGGTGATAAAATGCTGCAACTTGTATGTAGGTAAAGTTCAATGGTGCCAAGATTAAAGTAAATTATGTAAGTAGGTAATTATGTGTTAAGTGGAAGATGAATGAAACCACAACGTATTCGTTTACATGTATATGAGTATAGAGAATAATAATAATAAAACCTTTTTCCGTTCAGTAACTAACTGTCGAACGGGACGGAATCTAAAAAAAACACACCAAAATATTTTTACAACCAGAAATTAGCTAGGTAATCGTGAAAGAATTATTAATAATTTTAAATAACTTCAGATTAAGTGCACACGATGATGTAGGAAATGAATTATATATAAACATTAGCTTAATAATTGCAATTTTAAAGCTGCACGACCGGGCTAAAAGCTTCCTATAAATCGCGAGGGTCTCGGAGGCACGAATCGGTCGCATTGATAAGTTTTGTAATTAAATCATGACCCAATAATAATCGAGGTTAATTATTTCGTTACATAAAAGTCGGCATGTGTCGGAAATATTACCGAGATTAAAAAGGCCACGATTTAATGTTTAAGGGTATTAATTTTTTAATGATGTCATGAAGAGGTACATACATGTATTGGTCAGATTTTTTTATATTATGTCGTTCTAAATTACTTACGTATTATTCCGTAGCCATAGTTTTTTTTATTAAAGCGATGCATTATGTCATCCATTCCTTACATAATTCCTATATGATCTAATTTACTTCCAAACATGACCATTACAGCGTCAATTACAAGCTAATTCTCCAAACAGTACAACAACACTGGTTCAGGGTTCTCATTGCAATTTAATACAAATTCTTTTCAACTTAATATTTTTGAACATAATTCTTAGCTTTAGTTTGCAATAAAACTAATTTCAAGTTTTATTTACTTTCTAATGACATTAAAATCAGGGCTGTATTGTATTGAGCTGAATGGCCACATTTTTTTTTTTAATGTTGCCCCACACTAGGATTTTCTCCTGTGTCGTGGGTGCGTTTACAAACATACAAATTCACATACACACATTCTACACTTATGACAGGCATAAGTACAATTAGGACTTTGTACTCCATCTAATCATGGGCTACGTCTGAGTTATTACTCACACTCACTACAATAGTACAGAGATATGTACTGTCTATTAATAACAACGGTTACCTTCAAAACCCTGTGACCCTCGTCTCCGAATATTGATTACAACTCCCTTGAAGGCATCTGTCTCATTGTATTAAGTTCTCAGACCTGTATCAAGATTCCCACACTCTCATTACAAATTCATTCAAATAATGAATTGTTAAGCAATACTACGTTTAGTTTGGAATCTATATCTACGGTATTTATTGCATTGTATTTCATATAACATTATAGTTTTTGTATACAATTTTGAATTAAAGTACTAATGTACTTTGCTATACGTTATGTTTCGAAGTATTGCTGGCGCAATTTGTAGTAGACACCCATATAAACAGTTGCGTAGATGCTTCAACTTGATTGATATATTCAAAAAAGGGCATTTTCTTAATAAGTTTATTTTAATGTGTCTTAGGTGTAATAACTAAGATGTTTGTTTGCTTGTTTGTTACCTGTTCACGTAACAGTTGAAAGGAACGGGATGAAATTTGGAATTTTGATTTTTTATTTTGATGATGAATGAAATTTGGAATTTGGATAGATTACGGTCTGGAATGACATAGGATTTTTATATCATGGGAACGCGGGCGAGCCGCTGACAGAATGCGGAACAATAATGAACTGACATGAAATAAAATACCATGACTTTAGTGACTAAATTCATATGCTGGAATACTGAAACTTTACTCAATTTTAAGTCGTGCTCAAATATCGTGCCATCTCTGTCATTTTACA